AAAAAAAAAAAAAAAAAAAAGGTTGAGAACCACTTATCTAGATATTTTGTTTGTTTTCCATGTACAGTACAGAACAGCACATTGGATTGTGGATGCAGAAATTAACAGGATAATCCCTTCAGCAGGGACCTGCTTACCTCCAGCTTCCATGATGAAATACAGCTAGACACAAACTCAAGAACCTCAACTATTCTGCAGTGTCAGTCATTAAAGCAAAGAAACATGGAACCTGGCTCCCTCACTAGAATACTTAATTAAAAGTTCTTAGGACTGTTGCCCCCTCCCCACCCCTTCATCACAGTAACATTATGCTATATTGAAGTAGCTGTAATTGTTACTTCAGTATATACCCTCCCCCCCCACAAAAAAAACCAGCAGAAGCCTAGAGTGTACTGAAGCAAATAATTTAACTGAAACTGATTTTTTACACTTGGGGCATTGAGCATTAAAGAGACGTGTAGTGGAACCATATAAGTTCATCTAAAATAGATGAGAAATGCTTCCTTATGCAACTATGTATGTCATTACTGTTTTTACAAGGAATAAGTCCTCTGGAATTAATAGTATTTACATTTCATTGTGGACAGAAGAATATGTTCCAAACTGTGAAAACAATTAGCAGAGAAATATTCAAGAAGCCTAGAAACTCAAGTTATTCAAGGGTAAGCATCTGACGTTTTCAAATTTTTTAAGGACTTCCACCATGTGAGGGCTTAAGATTTTGACGCTTTATTCGTAGCAGAGATCAACAGCTTCATTTCTGATTCTGCTTTAGATTAGGCAATAAATGACAAGCAATTTATACCTGCAGGACTTCAGCAGGAAACAAGTCTTGTTGAATCAGTACAAGTGACCTTAATGCACGCACACAGGCCCAGGTTTGGACACAAGTTCAAAAACTAAAGTTTTATTTACTTCAAGTAAACAGATAGACAATACAAGTATTCAGAACAAGGACTGCTAAAACTAACATCAGAAAAGATTACCCACCTGTAATTTCTAATCCATTACAGTGTTGCAAAAAGCTATTTACAAAATATACAAAGATTCCCACCTGTAATTTCTGGACCATTGTGCTCAGTCTTCTATCTGAAAGACAAACCTAATATTCCAAAATTAAAAGCCTCTGAGTTATTAATCAATGTTAATCAATCTTAAAACAAAGATCTTCAACTTGGTAGGATTTCAGACCTCACTACTGGAATGCTTAAGCACAACTCTTCACAGAAAAACAAGGGAAGCAGTATTAGCGTGCTCAAAAGGGTGCACTTTTAGGAGAGAAGTTTAAAAATGAGTTGTTTTCTTCTTTCTTGATAGGAACCCATTGCCCATAAGGATTTCCTTTTCTGTCATTTTCTCTTCCTGGGGAAACTGTTCTCTAACAGAGAGACTTGCAGGTTTCTGAGCTGCTGGCTTCGCCATCATGTTCTGGAAAGAAATAAAGCTCCTATTTAGAATATATTTTCTTCCAATCTTATCATGCAGACAGCTATAGTCTGAGACACTTGTCTACAATGGAGGGTGCTTAAGAATTATTTAAATAGTCTGTGGAAGCCCCTCTCAGCATGCCAAAGGCAAAAGTTTTTGGCTGACGTCTAAAAAGATCAAAATTGTGCAGCTGCGCCAATAGACCATCATCCACAAAAATTCCTGTGTTCCATTTCCTGGATACAACACTACCAAAATACTGAGGGTATCAATTCTTAGCGTGCGTAACCTTTGGTTCACTTGCAGAAAAGTAAACTATTCAAATAATTCTTTTTTTGTGTTTTTTTGTTTTTTTAACCCCCGCCCCAATACATTAATGCACAAGCCACACCATTTCATGAGTTAAGTCAGTTGTATCTGCATTTCATAAATGTTGTCAATCAAATCTAAACTAAAATTAGGGGTGGAACCACTACCTTGTATGTAACCTTTTGCTTAGCTAAGTTACATTTGGCACAAGTGTCCAATCTCCCAGTCTTCTGAAGTCAAGATTTAGTATCTTGTACATGTACTTACATTAGAGCTGAAAGAAATGCCTCTCTGTGCAGTAGCTCTCTCAGTTCCACTTCTAAGCAAGTCTTCTGTAAGTCTTCCGGATGGCTAAAGAAGAGTATACAAAGTTTATATGGAGGGAAGCTAGGTTTGTTCCCAATTAGATAACGTAGTAGGAAAGACTAGAACATGAATATTCTAATACAAGCTGGTCTTGACTATTTATATCATCAGTAGCTCTAAAGCTACAAAGTAAGGTGATGCACATTTAAAAAAAAAAAAGCGGTGTTGAAGTTAACTTGGGAACATCTAGTTATTTTCACTAGTTCAATTATGTCAATTTACATGTACAACCTCCATGCTCAAGTTTTAAACTGTAACCATCTTACTGCAAGCATGGATTTCATATACATTGAAATGAAATGTTATAGCAAATTGTGTATAAGTTCTGTACATCAACCCTGCAGAGCTTTGGAGAAGGACAGTAAACTTATCTGCAAGTGATGCACGCCTCTTCTTCTGTACTCTCTCAATCTGGAATATATTGCATACATTATGACAGGGATTGCCTGTACCATTTGTTTAGCTGTCCACGAAACCCTCATTAAGTTTAATTCAGAAATACTAAGTTTAAAATGCTGCTACACGACATGTTATAGGTTTCCTCCCTACAGCGTATCAGATAATTGCCATTAACATACATACTGCAAAACTAAAATTTGTTTGTTAAAAATGAATTAATTTTCTTTCCCTCCCCTAGAATCACAGCAGCTATAGCCCAAGTCCCTTGATTACCACCAGATTTTCTTCATCAATGTCTGCAGACCATATTCATGATTTCTATAAGACAGAAATAAAGTATGTAAAATGCAATGTGTGTTTGGGTACTGGATTTCTGGGAACAGTTTGTTGCATATCAAAAAAACCGACAGTCACCAGGCAGTAAGTTTAACCTTTACAAAAGCCTATTAAAACAGAATTTGTGATTAAACCTTAGATTCAGCTCAACTGTATTTGCCAATTACAATTTTATAGACTAGTGAGTCATTTCTTACCGGAGGAAAAACAAAAACAACAAACAAACAACCTCCCCCCCAAACCCCCCCCCACAAGCAAACTAGATTCTTTCTGCCTTCCTAACCTATCACTAGTGGAAAAATGTGCATCTTCATGGGGACCAACCACCTCTAAGACTCCAAGGTACTCTTCCAGCATCAGCAGGTCTACAAAGGGTTTGGGGTATTCTGATGAGTTAGCAGTTTTTTTCCTGAGAAAATATTTCAAAGGCATAATTTCAAAGCAACTTAAGAACAAAAAAAAATAAAAAGTTAAAACAGCTAGTCACGCAGGCTTGTCTCTGAGGAGTTTTGGGAAAAGAGAAAGGAAGAAGTTTACCTTTGAAGCAGGAAACACTCCAGGTCATACTTACCTCAGTAGACTCTGCAGCATCTTCACTTTTCAGGTTTCTGCTGTGTGTGTCTTTGGATGCAGTGCTGAGTCTCAAACTCGCTGGCAACACAATGTTATTTGTTCCAAGGACTTTGGCAGCATTAGTCTTGGCTATTTCCAGGAGTTCCCTCTTATCTGGGGGGGGGGGGGGGG